TTGATGTTTGACATGTCCAATTGTAATTCTCTACAGCTATGGATGAAATAAATAATAATAATAAAAGGATTTTGAAGGAGGTAGTAGTGGTCTAATTTCAGAGCAATGTCACACCATTCATTTGGAGAGAGCACAGGAAATTATTAATTGAGTCAAATAACTGAATTAAGATGTATTAATGTCACTGACTCAAAGTATTTGGCATATTTACAATAACAAGACTGTGTTAGGAAAATATTTTGAAGCTTGGTAATTACATTTTATTGAACAAAACTGTTTTCATGACTCATGAAACTTCATAGTACATTACAATTCAATATTTATATCCAGCCAGAGAATTTTTTTATAAATTTTCCATGTCCCAGTCTTAAATTGAAAATTCATCAAAACCAGTACCAAAACACTTGAAACATTTTGAAAACTACTTACAAATGTCCAATATTTTGAGAATATTACATGTTAAAGTTGTTTGTACAATTTCATTACATGGCACAGCATCACAGAATGAGTTCATATATGCAACATTCTAATGCACATGCAGTCTGATCACATTCACTCACATTGTTGACTTTCTGATTCTAAGCAAAAGGAACTTCACCACATTTTTATTTTATAACACCCTCCCGGTCATTCGTGCAGTATTATTATAAGTAAAACTATAATTTTATTCACTGTCACAAATGTTTTATGCCATTGGGAAGGAAGCGCAATAATTTTTTCTTGTTCTGTGCTCTGTCTAAGGGTTTTAAATTTCCTCCTAATATGTTGTTGCCAACTCTGTGATTCATTCCAGGGTTTACAGAATGCAGTGATATTAGGACAATGAGGCCCAACACTGATGAGCTACCACACACATATGCTATTATATCACGATAGTAATGAGGATAAGAGCTGCTGGTGACATATTTCCTGCAAAGAAAAACAAAAGGAACATAATGGCACTTGTGGTTGCAATTTAATTGTAGCCCTTCTTGCAGCACCAGAAGTTATTCACTGCCTTAGAAACAGATCTACGTAAGATATTTTTGTGCATTAACAATAACTTACAGTTCTTCAATGATCATTACAGCTATTCCATTGAGCACTTTGTCAGCAAAAGTAACAGCACTGTAAATGAAGGCACCATTTTCAGTATGGGAACCAATTAAATCAGCTGTAATGCAGAGGCTTGTTACCATAGTTATGGAACTTCCTGCACCTGTAAAACAATGGCAGTTCCCGTTTTATAACATATTTCTCAACACAAAAAAACAAAAACAAATTCTAACATTACTTTTAAAACTTTTAAAATATGGAAGCAAAGTACTTAAATTAAAATAAAAAATACTAACTTAAATATGTAATATTTTATGTTGAAGTTTATCACAATTAGGGTGCAAAGTCTGAGTAGGGACAGTGACAAGATATTTCGGAAATGTGAGTATATTAACCTGTTAGGAAATACATGCATAATGCAACAATTCTGGTGCATTCACCCTATCATTGCCTTGAAAATTTCAGTTCATGAAGGACATATTTTCATGCTGCTTATAAGTAGTGTGAAACATGCAGGAATGTTGAACAATGGTAAAATCATTCCAGCAGTTCTTGAATTATGACTTTGGAAAGCAAAAATATTTTGTCAAACTTGATGTTCTCACAGTAGTAGTTATGAGGTTTTCTACCTTTTGCTATATAATGCTATATAGGTCACTGAAAGACAACTAATATTGTCACCTGCTTTCACATTGATTTCTTGCTTGGGTTTTCCTTCGACCCTAAAATGGAGGTCACATGTTCCTCGAAAATGTCTGTTAACTTTCAACGGATTACCCAGTGTTACATTCCAGAAGAGAGAACACTTAAAATATTCTATTCAATTGCTTAGAAAGAAACACAGTACTCATGAAAGAAGGATATGAGGCATAAAATTGGATTTGTTTTTCTCTAAAACTTGTGTTTGAAACATTTTTCACTCTTAATGATTTATACTTAAGACATGTAAGGAAATGCATGCGTGTCATTGTGGAAAGTGTCTGTTATTATTGTCAGATTTTAACCGAATTTGGTATCTGTCAAAAATTTTTAGTATTGGCCGCAAATATCAAATTTCATGAAAGTCAGAACAGAACCCACAAAAATTGGAAAATCTGCAATCATGAAATGAGTTCCAGTAGGTCCATAATCAAATTCTGAACAAAAGAAGAATGTAAAATGAATTCATAAATATGGATGCAACAGTATAGAGTCAGAAGTGGAACTATATCCAATCAGTTTCCTGTTCTTGAACTGGAAACCAAAAACTAAGAATATCCATTTCCATTAATGGATTTTATTTCGCTGTCCTCACTTTTCATTACTGCTGTTAATGTATTTCCTCCAATTATACTGACTGCCCAGCCTAAGTCACACACTGTCTTTTACTGCTTGATCAGATGAATCTAGATTTGAAATACCATTCATGTCATGGATGTTTTTTCTTTGTCCTTATGTTGTCTTCTGTAGGTACAGGCTTTGAGCTGGACTCACCCAAGGCGTCCTACCAAAGGCCCAAAAGAGTCATAGTTAATTCTGAATTGACTGAAACAGGTCAGATTTATAAACCACACAAGGTGAAAAAAAAAATATTGTCAGATATCCGGGGTTTGTCTTCCTAATAAGAAGGGTTTGGGATTTCTGATTGAATTTATTAGACCTTTCCAACAAGAGTTCACAAATCACTATCTGACATACTATCATCTTCTTCTGACTGGACACTCCATGGAAACTAGCCTGACTTCCAACTGAACTCTCAAAGTCAAAGTCAAATTCAAATTTACTTTACGTCTGGCAGTTTATCGCCAATCAGTTTTGAGACCCAAGACCAGCGATTTTCCACCCCAACTGAAAGCTTGCGGTATTAGTCCTTATGTGTCATCCTCTCTGACGAGAAGATGGAATTGTCTGTTATGAATATGCTTGGCCTTTCGTCAAATATACATTTCGAACATATTGCATGTTGTTGAAGAATTCTTGCTTTTGCACTACACACAAGTCCTCTGTCACTACAGGCTTTCCAGAGCAGATCATGCCTATCTTACATATCTTATGCTACAATGGCAGCCTAGTCACTTGAACCATCGTAAGCTTGACCATCTCCAAGTTTAAGCCTCCTTGAACTGTCAATTCAAGTCAAAGTCACATTGCGACTGACAATCAGTCAGTCAGTCAGTCTTGGTGTCGAGCCCAATCTGGGGCTCGTGACCACATACTTATTACTGTTTGACAGTTATGGTCTTGTTATTGTGGGGCATTTGTCTGCAGTAACAAATCATTTGAACTGTCAATTATTGCTGACTTCTAGTTATATAGCTTTGGGTCATATCACAGCACGGAAAACACATCCGTTGCCTAACAGTGGATGTCCTTTATTGTCACTTATTGTTGTAGCATTATCCAGCAATGGGTTGTTTGCCAAGAATGTCTCTATGCATCTATTTTCTGCCATAAAATTAAAGCTATCCCTGTAACAGGCCGTGAAGCCCCATAGGGTTGTGAGACGTTGAGGGTCCCACATTTTCTAGACAATCGGCTCAAAGATGGCAGTAAGGTTGTCAGCCTTACGTGCCAGCCATGATTTATTTTCTGCCATGTCAACCACAAAATTAACATATAAATGATGGTTTAAAAATGTGTAGATAAAAAGAAGCAGATCATAGTTACTTGAAATAAGTAGATAGAATAAGTGTAAAATAACATCTGAGGTGCATCCAGATGTTTCATGCGTGAAATGAATGAATGCAATGGCCATGGCTTCGCTCCCCAGACAATTTCAATGTGATCTCATCAGTGGATTACAAGGCAGAGTGGAATATTCTCAAAAGATACATTTGGTTCTTAGTATAAATATCTTTCATCTTTGTCTATTGATAATGAAAATTTATGTTTATTGAGAGATTTTAATAAAAATCGATTTTAATCCATTGAATGGCAGCTGAGTTGGCCATATAGACATACAGACAGTTGGGCAGTCAGACAGATAGATACACAAACAGACATGACAAAGCTAATAAGTACTTTTTGTAATTCTTGTGGACAAGACTAAAAAATGAATTTAATTTAAAAACTTACATTCTTTTATTGATTGTCTTCATGTGAAGAGCCAAGTTCACAGATATCCAAACAATAATGTATAAAATGCCTTTATTTTCTTCATTTTTAGAGGTTAAATATTGATATTAGGCAAAAATTATAATAATAATGATGTAGGTTTTCAAAGACTTTGCTATGATTGACGAACTTTTTGTCTGGTTATATGTAATTATTCAAAATTTATATTATTCAGGTGAAAATTATTTAAAAGCACAATTAAATTGCTGTAAGAGAATTTTCTACAGGTCTAATTAGCATTAGACTAAAAATACATACCAAGTAACACAGCCACGCCATAAATGGAAAAGATAAGGTATTTCTGTGTCATTCCAAATCGTATCCACACACAGCCCAATATACTGATCACTGCTCCGCACAGATAACTGAGCTGAAAATGTACATTGAAATGTCTCACTTCACATCACAAATTTACAGCACAGTATTTTCGCCAGTATTCATCAGGCACGTTCTGCTTCCCTGATCGTCTGTAATATTTATTCTAACATCAATAAATATTTCTTATAGTTTATGTGGTTGTCTCTCCATGCCAATGGATTTGACATCCCACATAATTTTCACAAAATGTTTCTGCCATGACCTGGTACTCACACCTATCTTACCTTGCTTCCATATAGACTGTTAAGGTATCTGATCCCAACCGATGCTAAAAATGAGGAGAGATAACACACAAAAGGAACACTGGCTAGAAGTTCCTCTCCTTCAGTTGGACTCTCATTCAGGTAAAGTGGCATATACACAAGACTTATTGTGAGAAATAGTCGACTGGTCACATAGAGCAGTGACACTTGAAACAAAGCCGGAGATTGAAGATAGCTAAGAAGTCTTCTCATGGATGATGACTCTTGTTCAGTTGTATGTTGCCAACTTGTATGTGTGCTCACTTTCCACATCCCAAAGTGGAAGAGACTATTGGTGGTTACTCCTATAGCTATCCCAAACATTACAACATCCTGTAAAACATACACAGTTAAGAATTATATACTAGGAAACATGTCAGACATATGCAAACAGCTCTTTTATTTCCTCAGAAGCTTTACTTTAAATATATTTCATGTAATTCATCAACTTTTAAATTTTAAGGTCTCAGAATTTGGCTCCATTGAGCCCTGTGACAAATGAAACCTTTGAAGTAAATTCTTGCAGTAAAGCAGTAGTTCACTTTTATAAAGTTGGAAATCAGTTCTCTAATTTTGATTTCTCAGTCTGAAAGTTATGATAAAATATTGTTCAGTGTATGAGTAACTAAAGACAGGGTTTAAAATGGTCAATCAATTTACTGACCACTTATACACATAATTTATAACTACAAGTAATAAAAGCGCCATCGATAATCTCAATATTTTATAGATCACGAGAGCTCACGTTAAGTCTTCTCAGTCTACTTTCACTAGTCACTTCCTCTTAAAGAATCTTAACAGTGCAATTTCTTCAGCTTCTGTACTCACATCACTCCCTGATGGCTAATACTCCACAATACACAGGAGACTTATGGCACCAGTTGTCTTGCTTATAACCCCTTGGCACAGACCATGTAGAAAATATGGTTTCCCAGCTTTCTTCTATTGTTACATGTGATTTGTTGCCATGGGAATATGTTTGTTTAAGAAGGTGATGCTCAGTAAAGGCTGAGTATATTTGCTTATTAAGAATTTTTTGTCTAGCAGCAAATGTTGTTTTGTTGCCTGTTTCACAGTCACTACCTAACAATGGGTCTTTACATGCTACAATAACAAATTAACATATAAGAGGGGGGTTTATATGAAATCTGACAAAAATATAGATTATCCAACAATAGCAAGATCATTAAAAACTATGAATAATGTGACACGTAAATCTATTGCTAAGTAATGGCTTGTTGAAACACGTCTCCAAGGTTATGACAGAGACATTGATCCTAGGCAACACCTACATTATCTTTCCTGTTATACTGGCTAAGTAAAGACTATTCACACATCAGTGAAAGACACATTTTGATGTCAACCACAAAAACAAAGTGAACCATCGCACAGAATGTTTCATATCCAGTCAGTGTAAAGGCAGCTTACATCGAGAGAACTGCCCAGAAGAGTTCAAAAATGCAGAAAAGAAGAGATATATGCAGGAGAATTCTACCGAGTAGTAGAAACCCAGTCCAAGAGCAAGACAGAAGAAAAGAGATTGGGCACAGACATGCTCACCGAATTTGTACAAGGACCATCTAAGAGTGGATATATTGAAGACTTTGTGTGTTACTGTTCCAGTACCATTTTGAAGTGTTATAAGTATTTGTACAGCCATCTGGTGATTGTTCAACAAATCGATTCTTCAATCCAGAGAAATAATTAATTACTTTTCGCTTTACCAGGATACGTGTCAGTACCAAAGGGGATTCAAGACATCTAAGCAAAGGTGAGGTAAAAATGGAAGACAAAGAACAAGGTAGTCGAAGGCTACATTTGGAAATTCTGGGGGAGTAAGATATATCAAGTTTGAGAGACCCCACAAAAAGGAATTTTAACCTGAAGAACAATATAAATAAATGTAAAGTTTCCAGCCCCTGGATGGTTACTGAGAAAATATGGTAAAAAACTGATACTATAACATATTCAGAATGCGTATGGAGCAGACACCAACAAAGATTGACCATGGAGCGGCACATTATCTTCATATTGAATGAGGGCTGAGAATGTATCTTTAGGGCATTTTTCATCATAATCCTCCAATATTGCAATCAAATTTGACATATAATGGGATAATTTTGTATTATCATGCGATTTTCAGTTACACATATCACTCACATGAATTTCAGAGCTCTGTCCTAGGATTCCACTGCATATAATGAAAGTGTGCATGAATTAGTTTATACCTGGTTTACTTAGTGATGTTGTCAGTAATTCAGACTATGCAGCATTGAATGGCAGGGCAGTTAGTGCATAATGAAATGGATAGGATGAGATGGACACAACCATGACCTAACTTGTGGTACTGCCTCAGCATTTTCCTGAATGGACTGGGAAAACTATGAGAAACCTCAGTTATGATAATCACTGTCCTGGCTGATATTCACACCAGCATTTCCTGATTATGAATCAGATGCATTACCAATTGAGCCATCAAAGAACCATGAGATACTTCTCATAGGATAACTGGTAACCAGGCAAAATTCGAACTGGATACCTTCAATTAACAAGTCTAACATATTATCCCTCAACCAAACTTCTTGGTAAGGTATGGTTGTAGAAATATTTCTGCACATTGAAAACCTTCAAAAGTGGAATCATCCATGGGGTATTGTTCATAAGGATGGAAGTCATGACAACATCTTGTAACCGCTCTTGGCTACCACTTCTAGCAACCGTTGGGTGCTACTTCTTGTAACCGCTCTTGGCTANATCAGATTGGGAGTACCACAGGGATCAATTCTTGGGCCATTATTTTCTTTATTATATATAAATGATTTGCCAGCAGCAGTAAATATNCCACTTCTTGTGACCGTCCCCTATCTATCTTTATATTTATTTATTTGTTTATTTATTTATTTGCCCGTTTCGGTAGAACACTTGACTCATTTATTTGCCAGCTTCGGTAGAACACTTCACTCTTCTCAGGGTTGCATCACGGTAATGACTGGGTCAACGAGGAGACTACACATTTAAAGCTAGTCCACTGATACAGATCAAAGACACTATTTTCTGCTTAATCACAAATTGTTTATTTCAGAAGCGAACACTATATCTTTATTGGCAAGTACGGAGTAACGTGCCCTTTTTATTATTATCAAAGATTAATCGAAGCAAATAAAAACTGTTAAATTTAGATATACTTGGAGAGCGCAGCTCAACACGTCTGCCTCTGGTGAATTCAAAATGCCAAGTCCTTCTGCTCACTCTATCCTGCGGGAGCGTCACTTCATCCACTGTATAGGATTTGAACTGACGGCCTTTCTCCCAGACAAGAATAGTTTCCTAATGGCTGATTTTAACTGCCAATTCATCATACCATCAGTACTAGACAATCACATTACTAACTTTGAGAATAAAGAGATCCAAAGATATTGAACCCGGAACCCTACATGTGAAAGCGGTTATTTCTTAGTTTAGGGTCTAATTACATCCTTCCGAAGACACTTTTATAACAGCTACCCTGTTAGCAAAACAACATTTACATATTCGGCAAACTACAGACATGTCTTTTCATAATTGCCTCGACCCTTCTCGGTCACCCAAGCTGCAGGTAACAAAACAAGGCAGTTGTTCCTGTCCAAATGCGAAAAGTAAGTCATAACTTCTTAATGGATGGGTCTCCCTAATAAATCAGTCTCTCTATTGAAATGGCTAAAGAGGAACATAGCGTCCATTAGAGAGTGTTAAAAGGTTTGGACTGTCACAATCTTGATATGAAGAAGAAAATTAACTTTTGTACTAAGAATGTGTATTGTATCTAAGTTTTAAAAAGGTTCTGGGCACATTTCAGATTAAGAGGTGATACAACTACGTGTACAAATACATAAGTAGCTAATCAAGTTATTGTCTTTTAAAAACAAAGTAACTGTTAACATACCCAAAATTTATATTCATCATCAGGTCCAATCTTATCTAATCCATTTCCTTTTGTAGCACGAAATACACTCCAAGTTATAACATACACAGCTAGACTGGAGCAGACTGATGCAGAGTACCTGAAAAAATATGCAACATTTAGAGCAAAAGTGGTGTATTAAAAGTAGACATGTATGTTTATATATGTGATCTAAGATCTGAAGAACTACAGTGAAAGTAATTTTTGAAGAAAGGTGTCCATAATTTCATTGAACCGACATACAGGATCTGATATGTAAGCTTATAACCCAAAAAATTCTCAGAAGAACTTACAATGCCTATTTAAGTCTTCTATGCTACAAGCTGGAAGGTCGCAGGTTCAAGTCCCGACGAGGTCATTGGATTTTTTCATTTGACCTAATCCTTCCAGCCGCACTAGGCCCTGGGGTTTACTCAGCCTCTAACAGAAATTAGTACCAGGAATTAATTAAAAATAATTTTCCTGGGGAGTAAAGCATGAGCGGCGCATAAGGCTGACAACCTTACCGCCATCTTTGAGCCGATTGTCTGTATAGTGTGGGACCCTCAACGTCTCACAACCCTATGGGCCTTCACGGCCTGGTACAGGGATAGCTTTACTTTTTTTCTTTATAATGCAATGATATTAGTTTAACAACATAGATTCATACTTAATTCACTAAATTTTTGTTAATTGTTTAAAATGTCATTGAAATTATTAAAATATATGTACATTTGGTGTTATGCTACATGTTTCAGTTGCATAGGGCCATCTTCAGACAACACATTTTATTAAAGGGGTCTACTGCACTGTACACTTGGTCAAATAGTAATCATTAAGGCACATCGTTGTTGTTGTTGTTATTATTGCTTTTTCAAAATTCTGATGTTGTAGGATGACTTTATAGGATGATTTTCTTCCTATATGATATGTTTTGGCTATTTTCATGCCCCATTGGGTATGCCGTTCTCTTGGTTGTGTGTATCTAGATAAACGAAATCAACCGCAATATATAAGATAGGAAGAAATTNNATCCTATAAAATCATCCTACAACATCAGAATTAAAAAAAAAAAATAATAATAACAACAATGAAATACGTTAATAAATACTATTTGACCAAGTGTACAGTGCAGTAGACTCCTTTAAAAATAATGTGTTTCCTGAAAATGGCCTTATGTGGCTGAAACGTGTAGCATAAACACTGAATGTATGTATATTTTAATGACATTTTAAACATTTAACACAAATTTAGTGAATTAAGTGTGAGTAAATGTTGTTAAGGCCGGTCACGGTAGCCGAGCGGTCTAAGACATGCACTGTCTTCGCTCGCTCGGAAGCCGAGATCATGGGTTCGAATCCCACTCAGGGCATGGATGTTTGTGTGCGTTTTTCTGTGTTTGTCTACAGGTAGAAGCCTTGCGATGAGCTGATCACTCACCCAAGGAGTCCTACCATATGTGTAAGATCTAGAAAAACCGAAGTGAATGGAGTTCACGGAAGCAGGCCTAGGCCCACTGGGGCTGTAGTGCCAGGGAAGAAAAAAAAAGTTGTTAAATCAATTGTGTGCCATTACAGAAAGAAAGCAAGACTGTAAGATAATATACTAGCAAACCTTGCACTTCAAAAGACACAGAAGACACAGACGGACCTTGCACATTATGACTGTGAAGCCAAAAATCCTCTGAACCTACTCCGTGAAAGATAGTAAAAGAAGTTAGGGATTTAATTAAATATTAATAATTTTACCAATGAATGCCTTAGTTTTCAGTTTACCTGAAGAGAGCCATAGCCTCTTCAAAGCATATTCTACATAAAAATAGATCAAGAAATATGCTCTGACTGCAAAAAGTGTTTAGAAGTAACCATACCTAAGGGCAGTAAGCTCTGATCTACCCTGTTGTGTTGGTGTCAGATCAGGAAGCAGTGCTAAATGTGAGATCTGAACCATAGCCCATCCTCCCTGGAATACAGCTATAAGGGTTGCATAGTACAAAGCCAGCAGCCAATAGTTGGTGGTTATGTCCGTACCCTTACAGCCAGGGCATGGTGCAAAGAGTAGGGGAAAGGAGAGCAGAACGAACATTGAGCCTGCAATCATTTCAAGACATACAAAATTTCTACATATAAGTAACAAGTCTCTTAGGAAATAAAATTCCCGAATGACCACGCCTATTTCACTAAAGTATAAATATTTTTGAGAAGTAATTCAATTCCAGCAAATCTGATTAAAATTTAATACATATGCTATTATTTAACAAATTTCCATTAGTAAAATATTAGAATTAGATAAAATTAAATATCTCTTACTGTACTTAAATATAAAAAATATAGCATATACAAAGATTAGACTTCCACTGTTATGATTATGATAGCATTATGATAAACTGAGCGTAAATGACAAACCACCTCTGTGGTCTAGTGGTCTGAGTTCCTGGCTACAGATCCAGAGGTTCCGGGTTCGATTCCCGGCGCTACCAGATTTTCTGGGAAGTAGTGGGTCTGGAACGGTATCCACTCAGCCTCATGAGGATAACTGAGGAGCTATTTCAAGGAAACAGCGGCTCCGGTCTAGCAAACCGAGATTAACGGCCGTGGGGATCCTATGCGCTGACCACGTGACACTCTCTATCTGCTAAAGTTGCCACTAACTTCGTCGACTAGTGGCGGTCGCTCGGTCTGTATAGTTCGCTTGCGGACTACATGCCACGGAGTTTGTTTTTGTTTGAATGTAAATAACATAACAGAGGTTTAGAAATAGTTCTGGGAAAATATAGCCCGACAAAAGAAATCCATGACATGACCCACAAAATACTGTCCATTTTCTTTGAATTCACCTGCAATTCCACATCAAATCAACTGGCGCACGTAACTCACACTGTAATGACGCCAGGTTTCAGTCCTTACCAGGGTAACTCACGTCTTCCTCCAAGTACATTCTTTAACATATTCAACTTTAGTAATTTCCTCTTATTATTTTTTTCTGAGAGTACAAGGTATAAATGAGCCAGGATAGCGCAACCGCTATGTAAATAAAACAGCAGTTTAGTCATATGACTGACTTCATGCTAATCTACGCACAACATACGTCAGTATGCTGAAACTGTGTTTATGGTTTTGTTCAGCAGTAATTTTGTTAATTAAGTTCTCAAATATGTTACAATAGCATAGTCAACGGTGTTACATTTATGTTACATTAATTATAATAAATGTTACTGTTTAAATACTTACCTACAATGTGCCATGTTTTTCTGCTTCCAATGCGGTCAGACATTATTCCCACAATTGGTGTGCATATCCCATCAGTCAGCTGACCTGTAATTCAGACAACAAATTTTATCGTAATTTTAACTGATAATATGGTCATGTGGGGCGCACGCGGTAGCGTAGTTGGACGAGGCACAGTGTTACAAGCCGGAAGGTCGTGGGTTTGATTCCCGATGAGGTCATTGGATTTTTCAGTTGAACAAATCTTTTCAGCCGCGCTGTGGTCCTGTGATCGACTCAGCCTTTAACAGAAATGAATACCAGGAATCTTCCTGGGAGTAAAGGGAGGCCTGCGTGTAAGGCTGACAACCTTACCGCCATTTATCAGCCGATTGTCTAGAAAAGGTGGCAGCCTCGACGTCTCACAACCCTATGGGCCTCCACGGCTTGCTCCAGGAGTAGCTTTGTAGAGCCATGTAGTCAGAGTTATCAGGGGCCTATATTCTCGCTGAATTTTTCGAGATGGAATGGGAATGGGATTTCCACTGCTATTAATAGTTGTTTGCAAGTTATTTAAAATTCCGTATTAACTCCAAATATTTTTATTATTGGATGATATGAGAGAGATTATTTATGATGACCAGCCTAGGGTGACTTATTTTCATCACATTATCTCGGAATGCTGCTGTCATCACTCACAAATAGAACTATGGGTAAAGAGAAGGGTGTTTTAAAACTAAATAATTTTGTGAAAGGAATGTTTAAATATATACTCGTGACAGAGGATACCATTGGAACTCACCTATAAGCAGCATAGCCCCGGAAAGTTCAGGCGTCATGCCAATCACCATTTGCAGGAACAATAGCGTGTATGAAAACCACATGGCCGCAGTGATATCATTAAAGACATGTCCCAACGCATATGCAGCTTTCAGAGGCAGGGACAGATGGTTGGTATGTCGAGACCCGTAACCGTTTGTGGAGACCTCACGTGACTGAACAAGAGGCGTATGCTCTCCAGTGGTCTCTGTAGCGCTCTGCGTTGTGAATTCCATTTCATCCATTCTGCTTAATTTGCTGGCTTCGATTTTAATAAATTACTGATTATGATGTATTGTGTGCATGCTCTCTTTATACGAAGCTGGAAGAAACGTATGGTTCAGTTATCACAGATAATTTTATATAATAAGAAGCGAAAAGAATACAAAAGAGCATAACATTTAGTACATAACACGCGAAGGTTCAGACATGGCTTCCATGTACGCATTCGCTTGCAATTCTAGTATGGTACTGAAAACAAACGACATTCAGTCCAATGAAAGAATATTCCGGTTGGCTGGAATAAATCCACTGATAATAACAGAGAGGGGAGGAGGGATAAGGAGGAGGAGGAGGAAGCGGTGGAGTCGGAGGAGAATAGATGATGAAAATTCGATTCAATTCACCATTTTTTACATGCTAAATTCCAGCAACCATAGACCATTTACAGGGTCAGCACGAATAAAAAACGACAACAACAACAATAAAAATCATACCAGAGACAAATATGCATATAAAGGAAAGGTTAATCGGTTATTGTTATTTCAATCTGAACACAAGTTTCTAAAAATATCTACAGATTTACAACCCGCATTAGCAGCGGAAACGCATGTATATGAAGGGAAGTGACTGGAGAAGCAACAGAACATAGGGAAGATCCGTATTTTGTGAGCAGGGACACGAATACCTGCTGTCTGAAGAACTTCAGCGCCATTATAAATATTAATTACAAAAATAACAACGGAATGGCGACAGTGAAATTAGATCTTGTCAAATACAAAATCAAGGCATTATTCTGCAGAAACACTGATATTGGTCTGGTGTTCAGGTGTCTGTGGTCTAGTGGTCAGAGTTCCTACAGATCCAAAGATCCGGGTTCGATTCCCGGCGCTACCATATCTTCTGAGAAGTAGTGGGTCTGGAACAGGGTCCACTCAGCCTCGTGAGGATAATTATGGAGCTCTTTCAAGGAAATAGAGACTCCGGTGTAGAAAACCGAACTAAATGACCGTGGGGATTCGTTGCGCTGACCATGCGACACCCTCTATCCGCTAAAGTTGGCACTAACTTCACCGACAAACGGTGGTCGGTCGGTCGGTATAGTTCGCTTAGGGACTAAAACCACGGAGTTTGTTTGTTAAGGTATTCATGTCATAAGAACAGTAATGTTTCAGGTATATTACTTTTAATATGTGACCTTGGAAGCCTATGGAAAGCAGTATCATTATTACTCTGCTAGAGACAAGGTCAATATATTCTACTCCGTTCTCATGTAAGAGATATCTTATAGACTGACCTCAGCAGGTTTTGTTACCCTGTTCCAAGTGAACGTTACAAGCCGGTTTGTGTTTGTGGGTGAGGGGGAACTGTCATCACGTTTTATAACTGTTGACAACCCAGTTCAGGTGTCATTAAGGGCAGAATACAGTCACGGGCAATGACAAAATGGTTCGCACTCCTTTTTATGAAAGACAGAAACCAAGATTAATGCAAATTTGGAAATTTGTCTTCATTTAAATTTAGTTTGAGACTTATCTCCAGCTAGCGTAGTCGGTATAGCGACTGACTATGGGCTTGACGACCGAGGGGTCGGAGTTCGAGTCCCAGTGGGGATTTCCAATCGTCCAGACCGTCTCTGGGGTTCAACCAACCTCCTATACAATGGGTACCGGGGGATCTTTCCCGGGGGTAAAGCGGCCTGGGTGTGAAGCTGACCAATCACCTCCAACTAGTGCCGAGGTCAAGAAAATGTAGATCTATACACCAACTCATCCATATGCCTTCATGGCGTAGTGCTCAATTAGTTAAGCACGGAGAAGCAATACTTCATATGCGGTGTTTGCACAAGGCAAGAAAATCAGACTTTAATAAGACGGTGGGATCTGTCTGCCCGAAAATTTCATATGGACAACTAAAATAAATTTGTATTAAACCCGACGGTTCTACTTTAAAATCTGAATTTCATGTTGATTCGTAATGAAGGAATATTCTTCACTTTATACCGAGTTCAAATCGAATTTGTAATTTTTCTGAAACACTGCTTGTCGTTAAAAATTATAGTGTAAACACACAAAACACAAATTGCAGATCACGATAAGGTTTTAAAATTTTATTCTAATAGTTTGTGTGTGTGGCGACATATTTAACGAAATGTAATTAAAAATGAATAAAGTTACCTGTTTTTCAATTACCTGAAAAAGATTTGTATCTGCAATAAAGGAAAATGAAATCCGTGTAGGATTGCAAGGAACTACTGTGGAAGATACATGTTCAGTAAAAATATCCTCTGTTGTTGCATTGTTAAGTTTTCTAAGGCACAGATCACTGACAACGCCAACTGTTGGTAAGAAACACAGATGATTTGTTGAGTCCCCTAAAGAAGAAACACAGTTACTGCAGAAAATATTTCCATACTTTTGAATACAACTGCTCATTGTTAAGGCGCGTCGTGCTCGTGTGATTCGCTATGCTCGCGAGTAATGTGGACGATGGTGTATAACACACAGCGATATTGGGGTTTCAGTGACTGAGGCTAGCTCTTTATAAGGGACCCAACAGCATAGGTGTTTTCCCTCACCTGAGGACAGAAACAGATCCAGTTTCCGAAACGTCGTGTTTTTCTTAGTTATCTTAAAACCAGGACGATGGATAAAGTCCGAAAACCCAATATCTCTGTGAGTAACGTTCTGGACTTGCACTGAAATCTCTGCCACGACACCAGTTATATTGACTAAGGTCGTTCATGATTTTTCTCAGTCTTTCCAGGCAAATAATGGGGTGCTCTCTCCATTAGACCACTACATCTTCCTCTCAGATTCTTACCATTTATTATTCACCAGTCATCCTACCATTCAACGCTATATAATCTGATATACTGAAGGCGTCTCCAGGTCAACCACAAGAAACAAATTACACTGCGAACATTCTTCCTTCCACAGTTTCGTGACGACACTGAATGTAACAGCACTACTTTCTCTTACCTGTATTTCGCGCCGCCGTTTCATGACACACTGACGTTTCAACGTGACGCTGAGTTTCTAAGCGAACAGTAGCAGTACTGGTTGGGGCCAGATCACCTTATCCCTTCTGCCGCCAGCAGACGCTAAGGAAACATGTGTAATAAGATTATTATATTGATTAATTTGGAGGAGACGGCCTCTATGTAGGACGGGTAGACGTGAACATGAGATCCTGACAAAGACAGTGGGTGGACCCCCAACTTGGGGCCTGGATCTAGGCCTGGGTGAGGGAATGGTAGTATTTTACCGTATAACAAGCTCTTTGCAAGCAGCGAACTGTAGACATAGAGGAGAACTCGTATTTCGTCTTTATGATTACTCAACGAATTCATATGAAATTTGGTATTGGTATCTCCATCGACTATGCTGGTTGAATTCAAATACGATTTTCACTTCTTTCCACGTTATATAACTTCTGCAGTTAGAACAATGTCACTGAATAGCCCAAGACTCAACAAATTTAATAATTTCTTGCCAGTGGAAGGCGGAAGTGTGAACCTCCACTGTTTCTGTTAAGGAGCTACAAGTTTAGTGCGCAAGTACGAGAGGGATACACATTAATTTTACGTGTAACATTGGTGTGACGTAGGCATGAAAGGAATGACCCATGTTTCTGAGGTGATTCGACGTTGCAGGTACGAGGTGTCCAGACGCTACACAGACATTTCTCTAGGAAGCCATACGAATGATTCGAGCCTGTCTGATCCATTTATGAGATATGTGGACTTGGTTTACTCAAACTGAGTACAGAAAGAACCAATCAATGCCTTGCTTCTTCATGCAGTAAGCAAAGAGTGGTGTAAGAAACCGGGGAGAACTATTGGCGCAACTGATTGCTATGTAGGTCGGCTTTAGCCAACTGCTCATACACGTCCTTCTGCAAACACCAGATTAACAAAGTTTCAAGCTCCCTGTAAGTGATACGAAAAATCAGCATATCCTTACACGATATTCGTAATTAACTTTTGCTATAATGGGAACACGAAAAGACAAGCGTATTTTTCCCTCTTACTCACCGCCAGTACAGATAAAAACGGTCCTTGTAAAGCGTTTTTTCTTATATAGTCAATCCACAGCTTCATCAAGTTTAAGTGCATTGGACATTCAAAAATCGCATATTATTTTCGTCATGTCCGTTCGTCCGTACACCCGCAAATAACAATGATTGAATTGCCTGACCGATATGAAAGGAACTCTGTACTCATGTGGTACACAGACGCTAAATTTTGTAAAATAATTTTGATCTATATTTGGTTTTGTTCATCTTAATCATCACACTACTTAAGGGCATAAATAGACTTTTACATGCAGATTTTAACTCCTTTGGCAGATGTGACACTTCCTCTATGCGAGTGTTTACACGTAACGTCTAAAAAGTGTACTGACTAAAATTAATTTGAAGGGCTATTTTGCTAAAGGTTGTAAATGAATTCTTCTTCTTCTTCTCCTTCTTCTTCTTCTTCTTCTTCTTCTTCTTCTCCTCCTCCTTCTTCTTCTGATTTTCCTTAATCCTTTCAATTCCACACTGAGCTCCTGAATACATTTTGAGATATGAGTGATTTTTTGGCGCTACAGCCCCAATTTGGGCCTTGGCCTGCCTCCATGAAACTCTCCGTTTCACTTCGGTTTACTAGATCTTAGGCATTCAGTAGGACCCCTTGGACGGGTGAGCAGCTGGTCGCAAGGCCTCTACCTGTACATAAAGACAGAGAAAACACGCGCCCACGCGCGCGCGCGCGCGCACACACACACACACACACACACACACCAAACATCCATGCCTTGCGTGGGATTCGAACCCACGATCCCGGCTTCCGAGGGAGCGAAGGCAGTACATGCCTTAGACCGCTCGGCTACCGTGACCGGCAATGTATAAAACTAATATATAAGAATTCAGTTCGTACCTCACAGGAAACAGATCCGAACCCACGATCCCAGCTTCCGAGCGAGCGAAGACAGTGCATGCCTTAGACCGCTCGGCTACCGTGACCGGTATGTTGTGAATGATTCCCTTCGAATTAAATTCTCTTGTTTGGGGCCCATTACTATGAGGATCATAAAGTGCATTCGTTAAAGTGAAGCACAAGTCTAAATGATTTAGAGAAAGGCATTAAAAAGCAACAGACGTACCTGTTATACATGAGAAATCGAAGGAGGACAGATGAAAGAGTAATAGCAAGTTTCAGCTGGAAAATATGAAGGAAAGAAGCAAATTAAGGGGCCTTGAAGCAAGTAGGGGGATTAAATTAAAAGGAACCTTAAAGAAATGTGATATGAGGATGTGGCTCTATTCGACTAATGTTGGAAAGTTTCCAGTGAGGGGTGGCCTTTTGTGATCACCGTCGTGAATCTTTAGAGTTCATAAAGATGTGAAATGTCGTACCCACCTGAAGCAATGTAAACCCAATATCGCGAAGATAATTAGCTCCTATTTAAGGAACTGTGCCACGTCAGTCAAGAGTTTATATGAAAGTCGTGTAAGGAGGCTGAAAAGCATTCAAAGAACCGTGTATATTAAAACAGTTCAACAAAGTATGGAATACGTGTTTAACAAATATAAATATTTGCATAATTCTGTATCTCAAAATTTCATGATTTGCGGAGAGAGACATATAGGCCTGATATTTTTTCGGCTTAGAAACGCTGGAGACACATGTTGTGGCATAGGCCCACTGCGGATTTTCAAAAAGTGACTCCGATTAGCGAAGAAAAATGTGGAACAATTCTCAGATTTGGAACCATCCTTCCCCTTCAAAACAAACACCATTAAACACAAAAGGATCAGTCACACAGCCGGTTAAGGAATCTCTTCTTTTGTAGATCCGGAAATGCTACTACCGTAATACAGAAAACAAACTCCGCGGTTTTATGCCGCAAGCGAACTATACCGACCGAGCGACCGCCGCTTGTCGGCGAAGTTAGTGCCACCTTTAGCGGATAGAGGGTGTCGCGTGGTCAGCGCAACGGATACCCACGACCCTTAATCTCGGTTTGCTAGACCGGAGCCGCTATTTCCTTGAAATAGCTTATCAATTATCCTCACGAGGCTAAGCGACCCCGTTCCAGACCCACTACCCAGACTCAGAAAAAACCTAGTAGCGCAGGGAATCAAACCCGGACCTCTGGATCTGTAGCCAGGAACTCTGACCACTAGACCACAGAGGCGGGCACCGTAATACAAGAACCCGCTAGTGCAGTGTTTCTCAACCGATGAGCCACGCCCTTTGGTGAAACTTGACGGTCCGCTAGATGTGATATGAAGTGTGGAAAACAAGAAACGCCAGTAGCGATTAATGTAATACTAAAACAGAGATAATATAAATATATATTTGTTGTAGAATGAAAAGTTCTGTTTTTATTATGGTGGAACTCCTCTTTTTTTTTTTTTTTTTTACAAAATGGCGTGGAGGATGCAAGATGCTTAAGGCCGAGTATTACTGCGATAATGGCCTTCATTCACAAACAACTGCATCCTAACATCATCCATCTACACGTATATTGACGAGGCTGCCCCTTCCTTTGAGGCTGTACGATGAAGAGTAACTTTACACTAGTAGGCCTATATAAGTTGGTAGGCCTACTATCAAAGACCTTGTTATTAGTAACACGCTACGCTGTGCAGGCTGGGGTCGTGTGGCACTGTTATGAAGTGCACCTGATGGGAATATCACAGACCCACATCGTGAAGTTTATCTTTAGCGTACTCACCGACTAATTTGAAAGTAACGGAGGGCGTTGAGAGCTGAAATTTACGTAAACATTATTCTACTGGGTTAGGGGAAACTGTTAGAGAAAATATCAAAATTTATGTCAAAGACAGTCTAGGTTATTATGAATTTAATAAGCATAATTCATGGCTCGACGATGGATGCTCAAAATTATTAGATCAAAAAGACAAGCCAAATTAAAGTGACTTATTGGAGCCAAACGAAATAAACGAGGAGAATCTGAACACTATAAGGCACGAAGCCAGCAGGCATTTCACTAAGAAATGAAGAAACATCTGAAAGAAAAAAAATGATGTGCTTGCAACGAACAGTAAGAACACAGACAATAGAGACCTGTATAGAGGAACAAATAACTTTAAAAGGGGTTACCAGTCTAGAAGTAGCTTAGAGAACGATGATAATGGTGATCTGCTTGCAGATTCCCACAACATTTTGAATAGACGGAAGAACTACTTTCTCAGTTATTAACTGAACATAAGGTCAGTGATCTTAGGCAGACAGAAATAGAGCTGAGCCGTTAGTACCTGGTCCCAGCCCTTTTGAGATGGAAATTTCTACTGCAAATTTGAAAATATATAAATTACCAGGTAGTGATCAAATTCCGGCAGAACTTATTCAAGCAGGAGGCGAAATATTACGTTCGAATTCATTCATTCATCAGTAATCTGTCAGACGACAGGTCCACAGTCTCTTCCAAAACAGTTCCTCCACTTAGTGCGATCTAGAGCTTTCTCCTTCAAATGATAATATCCTCTCCTCTCCCCAAGGTCATCCAGCACCTTCTTACGTTTTCTTCCTCGTCTTCTGGTCACTTCTATCCGCCCCTCTATCTTTCCTTCAATAACTTCTTTTAGAAGGCAGTTACTGCGTAAGATATGACCAATCCAATTAGCCTTCCGTTTTCTTATTTCGTGTAGGATATTCCTCTGCTCACTGACTCTAATTAACACTTCTTCATTTCTCACATAATCGGTCCAACTGATCTTCTCCATCCTTCTCCAACACCACATTTCGAAGCTTTCCAGGTGTTCCTGATCTACTTCCCTAAGTGTCAAAGTTTCAGCCTCATACAAAGCCATGCTCCAAATGTAGCATTTCACTAGTTTCTTTCTCAAATTTAAGTCCAGTTTGTATGTAAAAAGATTCTTCTTCGTACTAAATGCAGCTTTTGCCATGACAAACCTAGATTTAATATATATACTTTATACGAAAGGTATTCACCCC